CACACACACACACACACACACACACACACACACACACACACACACACCAGGTTTTCTACTCTAACATGCCTTCCCCTCTTCTCTTTCTCTTTCTCCCCGACTCCCTGTCTCTTATCCTCTCTCCCTTCTTCATTGTGCCCTACACACAAGTACTCACACACCGCCATACAGGAGCATCTCCTGTAACACTGGAAATGTTTTCTTTGTACACTGGGTAAGATGGTAACCCACTATTCAACTAGTTAAGTATTTGAAGTGTGGCTAGTACAGCTATGGAAGCCAATTTTAATTTCAACTTAACTTTAACTGTATTTGAATCTAGATAGCCACATTCACCTGGGGCTACTGTCTTGGAAAGCACAGCTCTGGCACTCACCATCAAGGTCAAAGAAACCAAAACCTTTGCCACTGGATAGCTGGCAGGAAGTTAGACAAAGGATAGTAGCTGCTATAACTTAAATGTCCTCACTTAACTTCACCTTGAAATCAAGTTCCCACTTGGAGGTCTTGAGAGGTGGACCACATGGAAGTTTCAAGAGATTCTGCCCCCATGAGTGGGTTAATTCATCCATGGACCAATGGATGAATGAGTTAGTTCATTTTCTTGAAATTAGGCTGTTGCAAAAACTAGCTCTATCTCTTGTAAGTATCCCTTTCACAATATAATAACCTGTGACAGATCAGAGTTTTGCAGATTCCCCACTCACAAGAAGACCTTCAGACTGTCACCAGATATAGTACCTTGACCTTGGACCAAGCAGCCTCCAAAGCAGCATGGTAGTTAAACCTTTACTCTTTATAAATAACCCATTCTACTGTGTTCAGTTATAGGAGCAGCAAGCAGACAAAGACATCAATCTTCCAAAGATGCTAATGACACAAAAGAAGGATGTAGGTTGTAAATGATGGTGCCATTTGCAGGAAAAAAAACCACTAAAACCATTTCAAATAAGAAAATAATAAAGATACATAGTTTCTTAGTGCTTGGCAGTCCACAAGTGAGCTCAACTCCAGGCGAATTTGCTTCTGCAACTCCATTGTGCCATTGAAGACCTAACTGTCTCATTTCTAATTATCTCTCTGCCTTTCAGGATATCTGTTCCAAGGCAATCTCCTTATCATGGATGCATCCGAATTGCTAACAGGTGTCTGAGCTCTGTGCTTCCTCATCCATGACATGAGTTTTGAGCAAGACAAACCACGGCAGCTACTCTCAGGTAATTCAAGATCTCCTAGTTTGTTGCCAATTATTGATGGCACAGGTTGTGCCTTCTTTGACCGTGCTGGTGTATAGTAGAGCTGTGCTTTTCAAAAGAGCAGCTATTAGTCAGCCATGGTACTTAAATCTATACAGGTAATGGCAAGAAAGGGGGTTATGTTGAGCTAAGTCACATAAACAAAGATTTATCCTTTTTAACTTCTACAGAAAAGCACTTCATGTTTCCAGAGGTTAGATTGAATCAGCGTGCCTTCTTGGACTGCTGGCTGGACCAGGAGGAAAGATCACAGTGCTGGGCTTAGAACTGTGTAATGACCCGTCCCTCACCCATAAGCTAGGAGAGGTATACTATACAGAGGGAGGTGACACACAAGAAAACCTTAGAATAATAACAAAGCAAGGGAAACAAATATCAAAAGAGATAATCCATTTATGATCGAAGCCATAACTTTTTCTATACTTTCATATATTTATCATTTTCCTACTTATAAAAAATGCATACTCAAGTTTTTCTTTCTTTAGTATCTCTTAAGTTAGAATTAATTTTTTTTAGTTTTATTGTGACACTTTCATACATATATATGACAAATCTCCCCCAACTGCTCTCCCCCATACAGCCTTTCCCCCACTTGCTGGTACCATTCCTGCCCCTAAATAGTCTCTCCTTCTGTGTTCATGTCACACATATGTATCACTTTAGAAAGGTAGAAGACTCAAGATCTAAATCAAGAATTTGAAATCATCTCTGAGGCACCACAGCAAGGTTGGCAGCATTCTCGTATAAATGTGCACATCCCTAAACCTTTTTAAAGCATATCTATAGGATTTCTTACTTTTCTAAATAATGAACTTTTACCATTAACTATATTGAGCCAGGTATAGTGTCACATTCCTACAACACCAGCACTTAGATGCCAATGCAGGAAGATGCTATCAGTCCTGGGGTCGACCTAGACTATGTAGTGAGTACCAAGTGTGCCAGGAGTACACAGTGAGAGCCTTTCTCGATAAAACTAAAAAAATATTTCAAATAATTTTTGTAAGATTTTTTTTCTTGGGATATCACATTTTCCAAATCATTAATTCTCCCTTCAATGGTGTCTTAATCAATAAAAACAACTTTTCTTTTCCTAAATAGTTCATATCCATTGGTTATTTCTAACATGTTTGCACTCACTTTTGATGAGACAGAGCCAATAAGAAGAATGGTTCTCTATGGGATCCTGTATAATACTAGTTGTTAACTCCAGCAAAAGCTCCCTAGAATTCTCCTTCTAGGGAAGAAAACTTATTGACAGTTCTTCTTTCTCTATGTTCCTATCAAATTTATTTTAAAATATATTTTTGGGGGGGTTTTCTTTCAATATCAGCTATTCTTTTTTTAATCTGGTTTCAATTTTAATTCTGGGAACTATGCAATTTCTAGTAATAGTACATAAATTTTTTTAAATGTATATTTTAAAACCAAGGTCTCAAACCTGTTAGACAAAGAGCTCTCAGCTGAACCTCACTACCAGCCCCTTCCTTGTCTCTTCTTCCTTTTAATTTTTTATCACTGACCTGGTCAGTAAGACAGTACTTAAGAGATTTCCAAAGAACTCTGAAGCCAGATCATACTGTTCTTAGCTCTAGCTGTGCAGATGTACCACTCTGACCCCCGTATATGAAGGGAATCATTGCAAGGTGACTATCAGAGTGCCTGTTAGTCCTGATAGTGTGTGTGTTTGTGTGTGTGTGTGCTTTTTAAAATACCTTTTTCTCCAGACTTTTAGGGTCTTTTCTCACTTCTCCTAACTCTTGCAAATTCAACTGTATCTGAAACATCTACACACGGACACCCTCTTCCATTTTCAAACACTAGCCCCCTTCTACTTTAGTTCTGCCAACTCAAAATGTCTAGACACAGTACTTCTAGGCCATTTTCCACCAAGTTCCACTTAGTCCCTGAAGTATACACTAGACTGCTCCTTTATATCCCTGTGAGTCAGTGCTACGTCCATTTGCAGTCGTGACAACTAGTCTGTGTCCTGAGCCTGCTGTCCATATTCCTACCACCAGGAAAAATACAGTGCTTTTAATCCCTTGAATGTTTTGCATTCTTCTTGATACAAAGCATTTACATATTTTTTTACCTTTTTATCGTGCCAGTCTTTACCCAAGTTGGTTTCTAGCTCCATGGGTGACTTTCTCCAAATCCTATTATTCCTTGCTTCCAAACATGCATTACCTTCCCAACATGCAAAGCATATAATGCCATCTGAGGTAGCATTTCTTTCTGTTTTTGAGACAATTATCTTACTGTGTAGCATTAATTGATCTTATTCTTCCCATTCCTGCCTCCTGGATGCTGGGCGTATAGAATATGCCACCAAGCCTAGGTCTACTTGATTATTTTAAAACCACAGATCACAAGACCTAGAATGAAATGACATTCATCCATCTTTTCAAAACAATATCATTTTACTCCACCTTTCCTATCTACCTGTTCATTACTCTTCATTTACCCTTGCCTTCACTCATCAATTTATTCAACTCCCCATTTATTCAGCAATTTGCAGAGACTGGAACTCAAGAACTTATATGAAAACGTGGTAGATCATCATGCCCAGGTTTATTGCCCCAAATGTTTTTTTCAAATTCAGGACTTTGATAAAATCTGAAAGCTCTTGTTCTGATCACAGCTGTTTGTTTGCTATCTGCCAGTGTACCTGTTCAACAGTGGATACTCAATCAATAGTTATAGAAAATATGAATAAATGAATGTGTGAATGAACGAACAAACTCAGTCACTTCTCATTTATTCATGTTTGAGATGTTTTATAAATTCCCAGGAAGATGCTAAGTGAGTGGTTGGCAGTGGGCTGAGCGGGAGGAGGCTGGCAAGAGTTTCAGATGACGTGTCTCTGTGAGCATGGGTGTTTGTGTGGGATGCTGAGACTCGGAGGGCCTACAAGCGCCTCTCCAACCAGATCCCAGCACCAGAAGGAAGTGCTTTCTGCCTCCCTTCTCATTTTCTCTTTCCTATCCTTTCATCCCTTCCTTCTCACACACCATCTTGATAGTGGGCCTTCTCCACTCTTGGTTTCCACCCTCACATTCAGCAGTTTTCATACTGTAATAGAGAGTGTGTGGTATTTCTGACAGTGCCAGCTCAGACAGGAGACTCTAGCCATAACTAGTTTAAACCAGCGGGAAAGAGTGTTGTAAAAGGAAGTCAAGGAACTCTTGGGCACTGCTCAAGAGGAAGAAGTGGCCAGATTCATATTTCCTAAGCTAGAGGTCCTCTGGCTTGGCAGTGAAATTCAGTAAAGGGTGGAGTAGATAAGCCTTCCTGTCCCACGACCCCATCCTGAAATCTACCAAATTAGCAGCTCTGGATGGAGACTCTGGCAATAGTATTTTTCACAGCTCCCTAGTTAGTTCCAAGATGCAGCCAAGTTTGAAAACCACTGTGCTAAAACAAAAACTTATTTTCGTAGATTTTATGTCACTATGGCAACACCAGAAATACCTGGAATTTCTTTTTAATTAGTTGCCAACTAAAAAACACATTTGCTATGTTTAACAGATATAATGTTAGTCCAATGTAGGCATAGTTATTGAAAGCTCACTATGTATTTTGTGTGGTAAGAGCTTTCATATGAAACCTCTACTTTATTGTCATGGTTTTTTTTTCTGGATCTTATTTAAATGCATAGAGTAGGTAAAAAAAATATGTCAATAACATTTCAAGGTTGCTTTCTTTAAATAAATCTCGTCTTTATTTTCATTCATGCTAATACAATTACTCTGCTGAGTTAACAGTAGTTTTAGGAGTCTCTCCTATAACGCATGGAAGACTCATTCCCTGGTCATACTAGAGATGGGAACCAAAACCAATTTAGTCTGAACAAGGATATGCAAATGCGGGATTTGTAAGCATCTCTTGGAAAGATGTCTTTCTCTAAAACAACTTCAAGAAGTAATTTTTGCTTTGTAACTAACTAGAGCTGGGGATAAGAGGCGTGTCACTAACCATGTCACTTGAAGCCATTTTAAAGGAGTGCTAACTTAGGATGAAACCAATACTAGCAAATCACAGCAAAGGCATAATGGGAAACAAGTCCTTTTTAGGAAAACCAACCCCAAAGTCCCCTCAACACTAGACGGTTCCTACTAGAGAGATAATAAGACACTTAGATTTGGGGTGCCAGTCCTCACCTTCTCTTGTTATTTGATTGTGAACTACCTATTCTGAATGGCCCATGACCTTCTGGGGATTCTCCTGCCTCTGCCTCCCATCTCACTGCAGGAGTGCTAAAATAACAGATCCATGGTGCCACATCTGGTTCTATGAGGATTCTTAAAATTTAAACTCAGAAGCTTATATTGGTGCAGTAACATCTTTACCCACTCTGCCATCCCCTTAGCCAACAAACTCTCAGTTTTGGAAATTAATAAATTGAGATCCGAAGATCTGGTGTGGTTTATGCAAGGTAACCCGTCTTCCCATCCTGGGTTCTGTAAAGCCGGGCGTTGCTCTCCAGACTCTTCACTGCCATGCCCTTGTTCATTCCGCTCAAGCTCCAGAACCATCTTCATTGAGAATATTTGCCTAAACTCTAAATGTGCTAAGTTATGTGATGGCCATAGTCTTTGAAATGCCTTTAGATTTCCCTGGAAGAAACTCTCTCTAGAAATAGATATTCTCAATCCTCTCTCAAAAGACATACCCCTCAAACCTATGGATGCAATTTGGTTTTCAGATGTAGACACCATGAAATAATATGTAAAGCTGTTGAAAATATAGATCACACAGCTCACCCCCAACCAAGAAAAACATTAAAAATTCTACCCAGCTCAGCTGCCTCAGTACACTTTTACACTACACATGATGGTGCTGAATATATAAAATACTTGGATCTAAATTTAAAAACTGCTCCCCCTCCCCTTGATTAACCAGATTGTCCCCTCCCCTATATATAGGAACGCGATGTGCCTGAGCCCACTTGCCATCTG